TTTTTTTTTTTTTTTTTTTTTTTTTTTTTTTTTTTTTTTTTTTTTTTTTTTTATTTCTTTTTGTTTGTTTGTTTGTTTGTTTGTCTTTTGTTTGTTTGTTTGTTTATTTGTTTGTTTTTTGTTTGTTTTTTTCTGTCTCCTTCTTTCTTTTTTCTGTCTCCTCTGTCTCTTTTTTTCTGTCTCCTTCTTTTTTCTGTCTCCTTTCTGTTTTTTGTCTCCTTTTTATTGTTTTCTCTCTTCTCTGTCTTTTCTTTTTTCTGTCTCCTTTCTTTTTTTGTCTCCTTTTGTTTGTCTCCTCCTCTGGTTTGTCTTCTTCTTTTGTTTATCTCTTTTTCGTTTTCTGTTTTGTCTCTCTTTTTTTTGTCTCCTTTTTGTATCTGTCTTTGTTTGTCTCCTTTTGTTTTTTTTTATTTTTTTATTTTTTTATTTTTTTATTTTTTTGTTTTTGGTGCTTCTGCATCAGCTTGTGTCTGTCTCCGTTTGCTGTTAGCAGTTGTTTTTTGCTGTTGTTTTGTTGTTATTTCATTTTGTCTCTTTTTTTTTATTTTTTTTATTTTTTTTATTTTTTTCTTTTTGTCTGTCTCTGTTTATCTCTCCTTTCTGTCTCTCTGCCTTTCTCCGTCTCCCCCTCCATCTATCTCTCTTATGCCTTAATTTTGTGCTGCTGTTGCTGCTCTTGCTGCTGCTACTGTTGCTGCTGCTGCTGCTGCTGCTGCTGTGCTGCAGGCGGCGTCTATGGCAGCATGATGGGGACCCCTATAATAAACCCTCCACAGTCTGCTATCTTAGGTGCAGTAGCATTTGCTGCTGTTGCTGCTGCAGTTGCTGCTGCTGCTGTTGCTGCTGAAGTTGCTGTTGCTGCTGTTGCTGCTGCAGTTGCTGCTGCTGCTGCTGTTTCTGTTGATGCTGCTTGTTCTGTTGCTGCTGATGGAATCACCCCCGCCTGTATTGCTGCTGCTCTTATAGCTGCTGCTGCAGTTGCTGTTGCTGCTGCTACAGCTTTCTACTGCGGTACTTGCTGCTACACTTGCTGCTGCTGCTGCTGCTGCTGCTGCTGCTGCTGCTGCTGCTGCAGGTATGCACGGCGTCACAGACAGGCCCGTTGTGCGGAACGGCCAGATCGTCATTCGACCCATCATGTCAGTCCCTACCCTCAGCAGCAGCAGCAGCAGCAGCAGCAGCAACAGCAGCAGCTGCAGCAGCAACAGCAGCACTAGCAGCAGCAGCACTAGCAGCAGCAACATCACCAGCACAACCCCTATCTCCGTCACCAACAGCATAAACAGCAACCGCATCAACAGCAACAGCAACAACAACAGCAACAGCAACAACAACAGCCCCACCACCACCAGCAGCAGCAGCAGCAACAGCAGCAGCAGCAGCAGCAGCAGCAGTGTGTGTGTGTGTGTGCTGCAGGTACCTGGCTCTGACCTACGACCACCGGCTGATTGATGGCCGGGAGGCGGTGTTGTTTTTGTGCAGTGTAAGAGACTATATACAGGACCCTAGGCGGATGCTTCTAGGTTTATAAATAAATATATAAATAAATATATTTTTGTAATATAATTTTATATTTTTATTTATTTATTTATTTATTTATTTATTTTGTTTTTCTCTGTTTATTTCTCTACTTATTCGCAAAAAAACGAAAAAAAAAAATACAAAATTATACACCATACCATACACCAAACACACAAAAAAAAAAACAAAAAAACACAACAACTAACAAAATAAATAAAATAAACAAACAGAATAAACAAATAAAACAAAATAAATAAAACGCAGACAAACAAACAAATCTCTCCCCCTTCACACACATCCTCGTCTATAGGGCCCCCATATTACCAGGGGGCCCCCTTGGGGGGCCCCCCAATACCAGGGGGGCCCCCTTTGGGGGCCCCCCAGTACCAGGGGGGCCCCCAAAGGGCCCCTGGTGTTGCTAGGGCGACCCAGGGGCCCCCTGTTCTCAGATAACGAGGGGCCCCCCAGGGGCCCCTAGTGATCAGTGGGGGCCCCCCGGGGGGCCCCCTATTACCTGGGGCCCCCCAGGGGGCCCCCTATTACCTGGGGCCCCCCAGAAGGATCATTTGTGAAGGGGGGGAGAGGCCCTAGGGGGCCCCCTGGGGGCCCCCCAAAGGGCCCCCTCTTATAAAGAGGTATTAACGTAGAACGTTTGTAGGGGCCCCTCAAGGGTCGTCGTTTTACTGCATCTAAAAATATTACTGTAATGTTGTTATTCTGCATTTCCTTTGGGGGCCCCTGGGGCCCCCCATGAGCCGATCGTTGGGGGCCCCCAGCAGCACGGGGCCCCCCGCAGCAGGGGGCCCCCAGCCGCAGGGGGGCCCCTGTGTTTCTCACTTTGCCTGGCGGCTGGCAAGGATGAAGTACCCTGTTTGGGGTTTGGGGGGCCCTGAGCTAGCTGAGAGGAGATTCGTTTCTGGTTGTGCTGGTGTATAAACCCTAAACCCCAAACCCTAATTAATAAACCCTAATATACCTAATAAACCCTAGACGCTAAACCCTAATCAGTAAACCCTAAGTCACAGACCTTCAGAGCGAGAGCCTCTGCTGTACCCTTTGCTGGGAATTAGGGTTTAGGGTTTATGTTAGGGTTTAGAGTCTAGGGTTTAGGGTTTAGGGTTTAGGGTTTAGGGTCCCTTGAGAGGGAACACGCTGTAGTAGAACAAAGCGACAGCAGCAGCAGCTATTCTGCTGCTGCTGCTGCTGCTGCTGCTGAGGAAGAGAGGGAAGAGGGTTTAGGGTTTAGGGTTTAGGGTTTAGGGTTTGGGGGCGGGTACACTCCCTGCACTGTACGTGGTGTATGCGACTAAGCCTTAAATACAGAAACAAAGAAAGAGAGAAAAAACAAAAAACAAAAACAAAGAAAGAGAGAGAAAACAAAACACAAAAACAGAGAAAATGAGAAAAAACAAAACAAAGAAACAAACCAAGAGGGGAAGAGAGAAACAAACAAAGGGAGAACCAAACAAAGACAGAATAAAAACACAACCAAATAAAAAAAAATAAAAACAAATAAAAAAAAATAGACAGATATATATATTTATATTACCCTTTGCTGCACGCCCGGGCGGGGCGGTGTGTGTGTGTGTGTGTGTGTGTGTGTGTGTGTGTATTGTATATTTGTTTGTGTGTCTATCTGAGGATTTCGCACTAAAAATAAAATAAATAAAATATTATTATAATTATTTTATGCATATAAAAGATAAAGGGATGAATAAAGGGTTTAGGGGGGTCGGCTGTGCTGGGGTGTATAGGCACCTCTGCGGTGTCACTGCAGCGTGGGGCCCGTGGGGGGAGCCAGAAAGAAATACAGATAAATAAGGAATTTATGGTTGAAATAAATAAAATAAAAATTTAATTAAATAAATAAATTATATTTAATAAATTTTCAGATATTAAACGAGTTATTTCATAGTAGTTCTACTGCTGCTGCTGCTGCTGCTGCAACCTGAGCAGCAGCAGCAGCAGCAGCAGCAGCAGCAGCAGCAGCAGCACCGCACCAGCGGTCACCGCCTGCTGCGCCTCGCGGTGTATGTACAGCAGATAGACAACGCCACATTTTTATAAGAGCTATTTTTGTCTTTTTGTTTTCTTTTCCCTCCATTGTTTTTTGATTCTT